GTAATAGGCAGCGAGATCCTAACAGTGCGAATAGTCTTATTCATGAGAGACGAAAGAACTCAGATCTGATGTAGGTCGTAGTTAAGTGACTCTTCGTACTAGCGACCCACATCATCGTCTTCTCAGTTAGCAGCAGAATCGCATCTATCACTACTCACACTACCGAAGTGACGATAAAGAAAGATCTCTCGATTGTGCAGACAGTACCACATAGATACACTCCCTGAGCAGTGTAGTTCTCACACGTACATGTCCACTAAATGGTAGATAAAAGACTAGTTAAACTTCTATCAGACTTATTCGACGGCTGATCGATACGGTCTCTCTTTCAGTAGGTGGCTTTGATTGTCATATAACACAATCTCTCAGTCGAAGCGTATCAGACGTGAGTCCCAAGAAAGAAGCCAGCATGACTCAGGATCCCACGTCTCCGGAATCGTACTGCAGCTCCGTCGCATTCGTCTCCGCAGACTCTCAGAGGAACCCGATAGTGAATTCCAATGAGATCCCTTCTCCGAGAGAACGCATAATAACCGGAATTATCGTTACAGTACCGATTCGATTACGAGAGATGTGACCCAATCCCTGAAAAACTCTGTCGCGAATGGGCGTCGAGAGAGAGCCGCCTGTGTATCTGCACACTGCAGCCTTCGGCAGCAAAACGGGAGTCGGCGAGAAAAGCACGAAGGCCCACCCTGCGGTTCGCCTGCTCGAACCGGCGGCCGTGGGTTTACCTTGCCCCGGTCCGATGGCTTGCTCATCGTGTTCATGAGGCGGTTTATTGCCGTGTCACGACTAGCGATCCAAGAACACCGCAGAGTAAGCAGCAAATTAAACGGAAAACTTTCCGTGTGAAATCTGGTCCGTGTGTTCCACCATCGTCCGAAGAGTTGTAATGAATTCGCTATAAGGACCTCTCCCTACGCCTAGCCAGACTCGAGCATCCAGAGAGATAATTTGATCAACGCGACCGAAATAAAGGCAAGATTAAGGATTGAGCGAGACCGATCGCGCGCGGCGGTAGCACTCAGGAGATTAGAGAATCTCCAGCAGTCCCACCAGCCCGAGACCAGCGCCCGAACCTGAGTCACCTCTAATCTCTATTGAGAATGCAGATGGCGACATGCGCGAACACTCTCTGAATTTTCGAAGTTCCCTCACACCGTCCCTGTCGGACATGAATGTGAACACTCTCAACCAAGACTTCTGCTGGCGTAATCCTGCTCCATGCTTTTCCGACAGTTTCGAACAACTTTCGATGCGCGATCGCACCCACACTCGCTAGCTTGCCGACGCCGACGCTCCTGCGACGGTCAAAATCGGTGAGAATGAGCTCGAATCCCGGAAGGACGCCAGGGAACGGCAGTCAAATCTCGCCGAGAACTTGCCGATGTCGCCGGGAAGTCGAGTGGAGGCAGCTCCGAGGAAGTCCACCGATAGAAATGCGCGACCGGAAGCTCCGGAAAGCGGATCTGCCACGCCGATGACCTATCGCGCGTCTCGTGCGCCACCTCCCCCCGTGCAGCAAGGCACAGTCTCCCTGGTCGTCCTCCCGCGTTATAGAGGTAGCGAAGACACCTCCAGATATCAGGCAGGACATGCTAGATCTGCGCGGACGCTACGTGCTGATCATGTGTCTAGGAGAGCACCCGAGCACGGCCCCTGAGCCCTGAGCCATAGCCCCGACGGTGCAGAGCGACATTAATCTTTGCCAGGCTATTCGACGCTGACAGGGGCCTTGAAAAAGTAAACCTTTCCAACCAAGTTGCACGGAAACGAGGGGAAAGGCTCCTGCCTTTCAAACGAGGGCAGAGTGAACCGGACGGCGTGACAGTATCACCCTGCAAAACATTATTGTTGCCCGACCTGCGCACTAACTTGATGTCGCGCGACGAGGCGGCAGCCCAGAAGCAGAGAATACTATACCCGCCACACGAGGGGGGACCCTCTTGTCTCTGGTCGCAAAAAAGCACACCGAGGTCCAGAGGACCCGGCGCCCCGAAGGCGCTGCTCACTTCACTCCGCGCACAAGTGGCCGAGATCCGGCGGAGTCCCGCGCGAGGATTCCCGAGACGAAGACGCGCGGGAAGGCGGAACCAATTCCTTTGCGACTAGGCCACATCCGCCCTCGACATTTGAAGGTTTCCGGCCGGTTTGCGTGATGCCGTAAAGAATGACATCTGCCCGTACCGTCCGTGAACAACCATCGACAAAAGATCTCGAATGCGAGGTTCCTCCCTCTGCCAGGGAAGATGTGCTGAACCGTTCCAAGGCGCCGCAAGCAACGTTGCGTCGGTGCGCGCGACGTGCCCTTACTATTCCGACGTATGGTGCGACCAATGCAGCAACTACTGAACGAGGCGCGCAGCCGCTACGAATGCAGGATCAGAACGGTGGCCCTGTAAGGACGAAAGCCCCAAGATAGAGCTGACCGGAGCCGGCAAGTGTTTGAGTGTGATCCGACGTTCAGGGCTGACCCCTTCTCTGTCCTGGCGTGAGGCGGTCGAACCACGGCAAATTTCACAAAGCAACGAGACGCCCTCGCGTAAACTAAACGGAGGACACCTATGAATGCTGGTTCGCAGAGCACCAGGTGTATCCGACATTCAAAGCGAGTTGGCTGTGAGTCTTATTCATGCGACAGCGTCCACCCGGAAGAGTAAGCTCGAGGCGCGTCCCAGAAAGGGCTTCTTTGTGGCCTGCGGTAGCGGAGGACGAAGGGCTACAAGTGAGGGAAGTCGAGTGGTCCAGAGGACGTCATTCCCTCGTGTCACAGCGCTGAAAGGAATTCCAAGTCTGATCCACTTCCGCCCGGAGATTCACCGCTGCTGAAAGAATCCCAGGGCTGCTGGGAAGGCACGATGTGAAGGCGCATGCACCCCTCCTTTTCATAGGAGTTGAACCTCGGCCGGGAGCTCCTGCATGCCGGGTCCGAACAGGCAGAGCCTGGGACCCGGCAATAGAGGGGAAGCCCGACGCGAATATTTTCGCCGGACCCTTCGCGCCCAGGGGCCAGAGGCTACTCCGGGCGGCCTACCGAAGTCCTCGCAGATCCACCTGGACAGCCAGGACCCCGACTCGCTGCCCCGTCCGGAGGCGGCGCTGCAAGGCGCGTTGTAGCGGACCGGCTGAGTTGCGAACGTAACTTGAAGTCTCGGTCAAGCAAAGCTGCCTTCTGGTGAGGATTCCTCAGGAATGTTGGAGCTATGGCGAGCGACCGGGTAAAAGTCCATACTACAGAAAATTAGCCTGGGAGATGGCCAGCCTGGAAAACAGCGGGTGTGATAAGGAGCAGATTCGTTCTGGGGAAGGTGTGTTAGAGAGGCGAAAGGGTACTCCCAACGGTATGAAAGATATATCACGAGACCTTCGCCCCGGTCGCTCAGGCTGGACTCCATTCGCATGCGACGCGTCTAGCGGCACGAAGTGGCATCAAATCGACATTTGCTTGGGCCACATTGCGTACCTCGATGGCACTTTAGACGAGGAGTATAGCCTAAATGGGCCAGGTCCCAACGAAATGCAGCTATATGCTCTGGAATACATTGCGCCAATGAGAGTTAGAAATCAACCTGGTTAATGAGGCCAAGGGAGGGAGCTGTAAAACTGCGGGAAGTACTGTCAAATGAAGAAGGCCCTATACGGCTTGAAACAGGCCGGTCGGGCTTGGCACAAGCGACTCGACAAGGAGCTAAGGAACCTGGGAGCAGCTCCTGCCACAGGAGACGTGTGTGTACCTTAAGGATGTTGGTTGTCGAAAAGAGTTCGTACTTTATGTTGATGACATTCTGATGCTGTGTCAAAGAAGTGAGAAGATAGATGCTTTCGGAAGTGATTCGGGGGCACGTTTCGAGGTGAAGGATCTGGGGAATCTGGAGCGCTGCTTGGGGATATACTTCAAAGTGAGTGAAGGGGCCATCTTTATGAATCAGATGACGTATATAGAGGACATCTTGCGTCGATTCAAGATGTCTGAGTGCCATCTTGTTTCCACGCACACTGCACCTAGCTCAAACCTCTCCAAGGCTGATGTGTGGGGCAACTCTGACGGCGACCGGCCGCCATAACGTGAGTTTGTAGGGTGTCTTCTATATCTGTCAGTGGCAACACGCCCGGACATAGCTTACGCTGTTGAGTGTGCTTGCCTAGAACAACGTCTCATTCAGAAACGCTCAAACGCCATTTTTCTCAAAAACCTCTCCAAATTTTTACTTCGAATATTTCGAACGGCTAATGCTTATTCCACACTTTAATATGACATGAAGTTAATTTCAGTTTATTTTTTTGTTTTTTGAAAAATTACACAAATGTAATTTTTTAAAAGATTCCTCACACCATTGATATGCATATTTCCAGCAACTTGTAAACACTATTGTATTTGTGAATTAAAGTACTTAAAAAGATTTCAAATGGAGTTTTTCTAAAAATCGAAAATTTCTGTGATAAAGAGCTTCAAATTTTGAATTTACATTAGCGCTTAAATGCCAGATTTTTAAAAACTGCTCCAAATTTTTCCAAGAAAATTGCAATTTAGGACGAGGTTTTACAGTTGTTTAATAATCTTTTAATATTTCCAATCTCTAATTATGAAACCTAAAAATTGAGAGAAAAAAATAAAGTACACTTTGGGCGGTGATAATGGCAGCTGGCAAGAGTATGTGGCAAGTCCGAGGTCCCAGTAGCTAGCTGAGAACAAAGGAAATAGAAAACTAATACGGAAATGTCTATGCCATTCTGTGGCTCCACTAGTTCATTTGTTGGATAAATATTATACAATTAATGAAATAAATAAAATTACACAGAGAACAGTTTCTGCAAAAGTATCGATCCATACTGATTCGAAAAATACTTTTTGAAAAAAAGTTCAGGGGATATACGACTTAAAATATGCATTTCTAACTGTTATGATTCTATTAATAGCTGGAACTTTTTATTAACCCATTAAGTCCAAGATTTGAGAGCAAAATTATGAAACATCATGAAATGAGAAAAAAGCTTACCATGTCAATTTGCGCTTGATATTGCATTGTCACCATACCAATAAAAACCTGATTGCACTGTAATTCAAAACACCCTTCTACATCATTAACATCATCTTCACATGTAGTGTTTCCCAATAATGAATCTGTAACAATATGTTTGTGAGGAATATTTTTCCTAAAGTTATTCAGAAAAAAGAAAAAACAATAACAAGAAGAAGAAGAAGAAGAAGAAGAGGTAGAATATTTACCAGTAGAATGAAACTGTCCCAAAAATGTTTTGTTTCGCGGATCTAATACATTACGAAAATCCCATGCTAAAGGGGTAGGACTGCGATGAGGAAGGTAGAGATGCTTGCTATCAGCTGGAAGTTCCAAATAAACTTCTGACATCTGACTGTTCACACCTTTTGTAAGAGGTCGATAAGCAAATGCAGTGCAATATGCCGTTAGACTAGTGCGTTGATAAAAATCCTGGACTTTCTTCCTGAAAAATATACAAAATATCTTTCACACAAGGGATTAAAAAAAATTAAAGTAAAACATCGAAGGGGACAATCAAGATAATATAAATTTAAGTATAGGAATTCACCCTAATAAGTTTATTGAGTTTCTCAAAGGCAGATCTATGTCTCAGAAAAGAGTCACAAAACACCTTTCTTTTTTGACATAACTTTCCACATTACCATGAATAATTCCCTCATTACCATCACATCGTGAATAATTTCCTTGAAACCTCTCAGCAATGGAAATGTCTCTTAACTACATGATGAACAATGAACAGTCTCTAATAGAATTTGAATGAAGGAAGTATGATGTTATAAAATAGTGACTGGGAATTTACTTCTAAATCATTAATGCCAGTTTTTTATCATAACTAAAATAATTTTTAAAATACCATTGAAAATCTTTCTTTTAGTAATTTCAGTTTTAGTGTGTGCTTTCTGATGCATATAAGTATAATGAGAAATGTTAGCTAATTTGCTAGACTCAATGTTTATTCGGAAGCGTATGTGTTTGATAATAGATTCTGAAACATTAAACAAAGTAAGAAAACATCATATATCTAGCATTATCATGTTGTGTGTCTCTTTATCTAGCACTAAATTTTTATTAAAATGTTCTACTTCTAAGAGTAATAAAGAACACTTCTAAATAGAAATATTTTATGCCTAGAATGTATTTGGGATTCTTTATTTTATAGATGCAATCTTGTCTTTATTAGCATTGACCAATATTCACACAAATATTCTTCTTTACTGTCCCTTGTACTTCAAAAGTGCCCAAAATCTGGGATTGATTGAAAAACTACTTTCTCATTTACACACCTTACCAAGCCCCTCTGGGAACTGTTTCATTAACATCACATTCTTTGTGATGAGCACAAAAGTTAGACTCTGATATTGTAAATTTTTTTAAAGAGACAAAGCTTGTCTGTAAATTCCATTATTATATTATAAGACAAAAAGAACAATTACCTGTCAGATTGTGATAAAGGACATAAATCATGACCATCCCAGAACTCTACACATGAATCAAGTATAATATCAGCAGTGCCTTGAGCCATTAATTGCAGACCTCCATGACTTTGTTCCCGCACCACTACTGCGACCATATGTGGAAAAGGGAATTTCAACTTTGCAATAGAAAGAGAACGAGCAAATTTGATATCTCTTCTAACCATTTCAGGTTGCTAAACAAAGAGAGAGAAAAGCAACACATGAACAAATATTACTTCATAACAGAAATTTGAAATGTGTTAAATTACTGATTGGATCCAAACTGTAACTTAGAACCAACACATCAAGAATCAATATATCAAGAAATGTTTAATGCACCAAACACCAACTATATGACATAAAAAATAAAAAAATGAAAAAAGAAGACTATTTCAAATAAGGTGAAAGTTAAAGCATAGATTTATATTAAAATTCATATTTGCTGTGCTAATTTTTACTTTGAAAGTAATTCTATTTCTTTACAAATAACCACATTTAGAGCCTTCATGAAAAAAAATGTATGTTGCATATTTTGCTTATTAGATGGTTATTGACTTATTAGACTTAATAGACCTTTTATTTGGCTTATTAGATATCTGCATATTAGATAAAATTTTTGAAAAAATAAAGACACATTTTATTATTTATTTTCTTATATGGTAATAACGTTCAACAATTTTTGTTCTTACTAAAATGTATTAATTTATTTCTGTCCAAGAAGTTAAATGTCAGGGATGATAAAAAGAAACAGAAATTAATTTCAAATACATATACAGGTAGTCCATGGAATTGGAGAATGTGATTCTATGTAGTTTTCCAAATTCAAGAAACATCCTTTCATTGTTAGTATTCCAATGAAGAGATAAATTTTATTTATTTTGTAACCATGTAAACATGACCAAATATGTACAGAAGAGTATATAAAAAAATAATAATAAATAAAAAAGAATTACAGTTTTCCATGGGAAAAACACTAATTTTTAACTGATGGAAAAGTGTAGTCTCTTAGTCTCGGAGAGAATTCCAAACCTCCTAGCATAGTCTAACAAGCAGTTTTTTGAACTTTAATTATATTTTATTACCAACCTTTATTTCTTATTACAGGAACCCATTTATCAATTATTCAGAGAAAATTTGGCATCTATTGCTTCTTATATTTACACAATAATTGCAAACATCTTATTTGTGTATATGTTGTTCTTATCATTAAATAAATTAACTGATTTAATTTTTTGCCTAACAAAAAATATAATCTCCACAAGTTATTTTTTCAACATATTTGTTATTCTATCAATTTTTGTTAATGTTTCAAACACTTAAGACAGACCTAATGCCACAATTCAATCTTTTTTAAATGCTTTGCATTGCTTTTTGGTACACAATATTTCTTTTACTGTAAATTTACAGTACAGTAAATTTACAAAATGTTCATATTTTAAAGATGTTTAGTGCACATTATGTATTGTATTTTAGACACTTTTACTGCATCCAAGCTCTAGTGATATTGAAGTAAGAATATTTGCAACCAATCTCATTACTTACTACATGTCTAAATGTTGATAGCTGTTCTTCGAGTTTAAATATGTCCTGTGCTTGGTCCATAAATCCAATTTGTTTAGCTAATTCACATAAGCACCTGTAAAAACATGCAAAACAAAATCACTATTTTAAAGAACAAAGCAGCATTCCCTAAGGTAGTTTCTGAACTATGCATACCTTCTTTAAAATTCAGGTAAGACATGCAAAAGAAAAACACTGCATGAATTTTTTGTACAAGTACAACCTAATTTCATACAAAGATGTTTTACATGCAGTACTGAAACCAAAAGCATTATTTCAATGTATCAATAAAAAAAAAAGAAATCGTAGGTGTATAGTGTCAAGAAAGATATCCCTAGCTCTTGAAGTTTGAGCCATCCTAAAAGAAGAGTCCTTACCCAAAATTGATTTTTCAAGCAAATAATAGAAGCAATTTTCCAACTTTGAAGCATTCCAGTCACGTTAACTTTGGGAGCTTAAAGAAGATAAATTCATATTTTTTAATGCCACATTCATTTACTTAACAATGTAATTAAAAATTCATTTCAGATGATAATCACACAAAATTCACAACAATGTCCATTTAATTATCTGCCAGAGACTTGCATTCAACCAATATGCCCATAGCATGCAAACAGCCTCATTTTTGTAGGCTGGTATATGATGCTTTCAAGTTATAAGACATGCAATTCTTCAAAAATCTCTCAATTTAAGGATAGAACAGTGTAGGAGAAGAGCAAAAGAAAACCTTATCACCTTATTCTGAGAAACAATTAAACCCATTCAGAAGAGAGAAACTCATTAACATGTCAAATACTATTTCCATGACACACCAACACATCCATATCACTGAAAAAATTATCGCTCCAAAATATCTACAGGAAGCTTTCAATACTGCAGATCGGCCTGCTGTATTTCAATATTTGTAAGATGGTCAATATTACACATTAATGCAAGTTCATAAGAGTGTGCATTAATTCCAACACAGAAGTCAACAGCAAATCTAAATCGAGGTAGAAAATGTAGTAGAAAAATTCAAAGTAGTATCTGAGCAACATAACAACAAAATCTGATCAGCAGAAATGGACATCTCTACAACCGCACCCCACAACACAGATCATCCCGGCACACATCTATAAAAGAGGCCAATTTCACATAAATGAACAAGATGCTATAAATTAAGAGATCAAAAATTGTATTTTCCACAACGTACTTATTGCTCCCTGGAACTTGATCTTCTGAAACACTCAGCTTCCTGAAGTCACAAGAAAAAACAATAAATATGAGGGCAAAAAGAGTCACAAACTACATCATACATTGAATGTAAATTCTAAAAAGCATATGAGCTTTAATAGGAACATTGTATACTGAACACAAAATTCAAAATGACCTTTTTATTTTCTTTTTCTTGCTTCCTCTATCCATTGTACCTACCTTTCCAATTCAGCATACCAATTGCCCTGACGCCCAGCACACCAATCACCAAGATAATTTGATTGTTTTATAAAACTTACATTTGATAATTTTTTTTATTATTTAATATTTTTTAATATTATCAGAAGACAATATTTACAGAAAAATGCGTCAGAAGAAAATTAGTTCAATATAGCAGGTGTAATCTGGTTCCCAAAAACACAAAATAAGGTTTCCTCCCCATATTCTCCTCCTGTTTCTTTTGTTGTGCTTAGAACTTTTTTTAACATTCACACTACCCACAACACCTATGATGAAAATGTTAAATTGACCAACAATGACTTACAATTGAGACAAATTAAAATATCAGACAACCCATGATTACCTGAATGCTCTTTTTAGAGAGATTTTGTCATTGAAAGTTACAATTTCCCCATAAATATGCAAGTTGTGTGCAACCTTCAAAGAAAGAAAAAAACTTACTCGAGACATTTTAAATATTTTTCCTCACTGCTTGATCAATAGTGATATCATTTCAATCATACTTTGATCATTATTTTACAAGACTATTTTTGATGACTGAGCAATGCCAAATGTTTGAAAGGATTTTGTTTCAGAAGACATTTTGAAGATCATGCTTGCAATGGTGTTTACAGTCACTTCCTAAAAGATTAGTAGTATTAACTTCTACAAATACCGAATCCCAACTTGCCATAAAAACAAGGAATTAACAAAAAGAAAAAAGAAAATTGCTGAATAGCGTGATGCTCTTTCAGAAGTTGCAAGCCACTGCAAAAAAGAGATTGCTGAAAATTACACCAAAAACATTCTCCAAAACAATACTGGTGGTAAATCAGTTTCTTGAAAGTAGCAAAAGACTTATTTTAAAGGTACTTAAAATATTTCTACATCTTCACAAAATGTAAGTGATAAACAGAATATTAAAATAAAAATTTAACTTACTGACAAAAATAATATAAACAAGAAGCTTTTGTGAAAATCTTAAATGCATACATTTAATGAGAATATCATGATGTTATCAATTTATATTATCCGTTAATAGTCAATACATTAAATTCATTTCACACAAATTAGTTTGTTCAAATAGGCTCTCTTCTTTTTCTTCTTCCTTTCTTTTCTTTAATTTCTTCTTCTTTTATAACAAATACATTTTTCTTATTAGTGAACCAGAAGGCCTGCTCTCACAACTTCAAGAGCTGCATCTGAATTAAACACTGGAAAATAAACCTCATTGATGCAGCAGCTAATAAAATAGTAAAATAAATGCTCTCCACAGATTCTAATAGGTCGAGGCAGAAACAGCCCTCCTCTCCCTAACAGAATGACTGCACTACTCAATTAGCTCCCACGTTACATGAATTTTTCTATTAACTGATGCACATTTTTCCAGACATCTGACAGATTACTTATTACACCATATAACCACAACAAAGGGAGTAAATAAAATTAATGAAATTGCACATCAATTTAATCAGTAATACATGTAAAGTGTTGCATTTGATGAGAATTGAGAAGCCTTCAGGAATAACATTCTATCAGAATAATGTGCATTGACACAATTTAATACGACAGTCTTCATTCCAAGAAGACTCATATTAAATTGGGTCAATGCCTGGACATCACATCTAAATATAGTAGTTCCAACTTGCATTACCTACCTCATATTATAAAAACTCTTTGACAATGTACACTTCACATAATTAAATACAAAACACATAATTTTGTCACTGAGGTTGCCTCTTTTAATGGCTAAATCTTCAAATGAACTTCTCTATCTTGAATTGATATCACAACACAGGAATCAAAACCAGTTACAAGCAAAGTTCCACAGAGATCATTTCAAGATCCAATTCTGTTTTTGTATATTCAAGTAACTGTATCTCATTGAACATCACCATGAATGTTAAAGGGACAAAAATTAATACCAATCTCTCTGAAGCACATTCAAATACAATAAGAGCTTATTTCAAAGCTTGCTAGGTCTTGGACTTCATTTCTACAACTACCAGGATAAAGTATAATTTTATCACCTTACGAGAAGACTTCAGAGCAGCCCAAAGGTCCCATAACAATTGATAATGGGAACAGCAGTAGAACTTTAACCAGAATTAATATTCTCCAATCGAGTTGGTTGTCAAATTGGAAACTGATATTTTAATTTTTGGTACTTTATATGAAGCCACAGCATTGCTTTCCAAATTATCTCCAAAATCTATCCAAATTTTTCTTATGAATTTTTGCGTGAATACTGCAATATTTACTTCTAATAATAGCATTGGCCCTATTTCCACTCAAAAATTGCACAAGTTCAATATTCTTTTGAATATGTCCTTTACCTTCAATATTAAAGCTAGATTTTTTGTGTTGAGATTAACCACATATCTCAAGGAATATTTTGGTGTCAAAAAGTATAAATATGACTCCTTTATTGACGTTAAAACTGGAATGGAAAACATGTTGAAATATTGTATTTATCAAAAAATACAGTATAGCAGCCAAATTCTGCATTAGTAAAAATAAAATGTAAATGTTAATATGCAAATTTAAGGACTTGCATGTGATTGAGGCTGAAATGTCAGAATTAGAATTAATGACTATAAAGTCGTTATAAAGGACAAATGATATTGAAGAAAATAAAAATTTAATATTTCATTAAAAGTAATATTCCCTGGAAACATATGACAACCAACTTTGTCACTTTTTACTATCTCGTATGGCTATAATGTCCAACGACAAAATTATTATAATAAAATTACCATAAAATTATTACCATATTATTATAAAAGATCATAACAAAAGAAATAGAAAGGTATCATGTGAGATTTTGGCATCTTTCAGAGCAAAACTAGTTCAGATTCTTCAGTTCTTCAGCAAAGATGGATGTAAAGCATGATTTCAGACTTTGTAGGTGACGGATGTCAGATTGGTTTTTGTGAAAGGCAGATGTTGAATCAATTTCACATATTGTGAGAGAATAATTTAAATTTCCCTTTGCACCAAGAGATGGACTTGTTTAAAAATTAAAGTTGCATTTTGTGACATGAGAGTAGAAAGGGTAGAAAGCGCTGATAATAACTATCAAGATAGAATGTCAACCCATGACATTACCGCATAATTTGTAAATAGTTGTTTCTTCAATAGTTATAGTTTATTAATTTAGGTAGGTGTAAGAATTCAAGTGTAAATATCATATTCTTGTCATGTAAATAGTCATACCTACAAAAGTTACATGAGAGTACGGCGTTTATAGATTTCAATTAGGAAATTACTTAAGAGAAAAAAATTCCTCGGGAAATTTTGAAGATTCTTCCGGACCTGGAGTACAGACGTCTATCACAAAATCTTGATGGACTTACAACATTCAAGTAATAAAATAGAACCCACATGCCTAATGAACTTCATGTCAAAAAAACACTCATTTTAATTGCAATTTTTTAATTTAAAAATGTGTAAATTTCTCTCAGCAATGAGCTTACTTATTTGCATTCATGTTGCAATGTATTAGAAATTCAAAATTACCCCAACCTATAATTGGATCAGAAATTAGTTTTGGACTATTTCCACTAAGTTAAATTCAACATCATTAATATGAAAATCAGCCTAGACGATTCAACTAAGAAATGTCACCAATAAAAAGAAAAGTTAAATTTGCCATCAGAATCAATGTAACATGAACATTAGAATTTTGTCTTTTCTATCTGTCCTTAAAGCCCCTTTCTTCCAAAACTCTTAGGTATTCCCTCACATTCACACATGTATGATTTCACCATTTATTATCTACCCATCCAAATGTTACCTGCACTTTCAAGGGAAAAGAACATTTAGAACACAACACAGAAAAAATAACTATCACATTGTTTGAAATTTTTATGGAGGTAAAACCTCAGCATTATGCTTATGAAGCTCAAAATCCACATACAATTCAAAAAAACACATTATGTGAACTGTGAGTAATTGAAACAATTAAATAAAAAAAAATGAGTACCTGAACTCATATTCATGTATGTATTTATTTAATTTGAAAATATGACATTGATGATGACTTACCTACGGTTAGTAACAGGTACAACATCCTCATTATGCAAAGCTTCACATGTAATATGAGAACAAAATTGAGTGTAATGTTCCTGAGTAGACATATTGCAAGTATTCAGAAGAATGGCAAGGCCAAGAGGTTTAAGAGATTTTAAATGTTTTTTCCATGCTTGATCATCAAACTGAAGACGAAAAGGGCTGCAGTGATCATGAGTCAAATCGAGAACTTCTGCAACAGTTTGTGATGCTGTGTAATCTGTAATTGAAATAATATATTATATGATTTTATGCCCTTGCAGTGAAAGTAAAATATTTAGAATCTCATTAGCATGTCCCATCTTGTTTTGTAGAACCAATTTCATTTAATTATTTGTTTACACATTTAATAATCCCACTAAACATGTTTGAAGTAAGTCCCTACTGTGTTCTGTCTTTGAGTCCTGCAGTACTGTCTTTCATGAGGTATTTCCGAGTTACTTCAGGGTACTTCCACAGCAATTTAGGGTATTTTCAATCTATTTTGACTATAAACCCAGGTCCAAAGAAATGTGTTCTACACCATCTTCATTCTTTGTGATTTTTTAAATTTTATAGAATGAAGATTTTTTTTGTTGGTTTTGTTTTTTCTGTTAATTTGTATTATTTATTGTATTTCTGTCTTATTCGCAAGTAATTTTGTTTTTAATCTGTTACTATTTGCAATAACATTTGATTACCTTGTGTGTATTTGCACTATTAATGTTTAAACCAGTTTTCATTTTCTATTACAATATTCTGAAGAAGGAAATGCAAAAATGACAAATTGGGTATTTTTCAAAAATACAGTTACCCACTTATTATATTCAAAATTTTCAATCTCTTGAAAAATGTGCTAATGAGCTTCCATTGTACATTAAAATGCACATAAAACTAATACAGTAAAATCTGTCTAAACCGGAATTGAATGGGACCAAAAAATATTCCAGTTTAAGAAGTTTTCTGTTTAATGCGCAGTTGTCCATTTTATGACATTTGTTTTATTGATATTTCCATTCTCAAACTAGTCTATTGACTATAAACATGACTATTATAATTATAAAAATATATTAGCATATAACATATTTATGGAAGAAATCACCAATAAATAAATATTAAACAAGTAATTTCAGCCATTGTTAAACTGGTTATGAAACTCATAAAACACATCACTTTGCTGCCTAGTGGCTGCACCCAGACTGCTTGCCAACACTTTCAACGCACAATGCGTCGAAAGAGAGCTGGAAGAGAGGAAATTTCCCTAGGGCCTGTGCCTTGGGAGGCAACCGACCCCAAGGTCGAATTCTACGCTGACAACTGAAGCTTTCTGCCTTCACTGTGGGGATGTGATGACAAACTCAATTACTGGGACAGAGAAATTAAAACAGATTTGCAGACGCATTAATTCCATGAAGAGTATCTCACATCTCTCTACCAAATGCATTCAATTCCATTTTATGAAGGTTTTTCCCCCTGTAAGACATAAAAAACCGGTCCGTTTCCATTTTATGCTGTGTAAAAGATCATTTTACTTCATGAGCTGGGAATCCCAGTTAAGGCAGGTTCCCGGCTTGTACAGGTTCCTGTTTAGACAGATTTTACTGTAATATACTTGCAATAATATTTAAAATATGTATTAACAATTACCATGTTGAAAACAAGTTGATTTTGAATTTGTTTCTTCATTGTCACCTTCATCTTCAGCTTTCGATTCTGCATTTGTCCCAATGACACTACTGGCACTGAAAAATTATTGATTTTCCTTGAAAATACAAAAACTGATTCAAATTTAATGACAATTATATTTAAATGTGATACCTCTCCACAATACAATATGTTGGTTATTGATAAGAAAGGCATGGAGGACAGCATACAACTAATGGCTAATTAGAAGTATCTGCCCTCAACAGAAAGACATTCAGCAGAAACTACAAAATAGGGTTTAAGTTGATGTATGGACAAAGTAAATATGAGCTGAAGCTATGTAGTTCAGTAGGAAAAAATTTTAATCTTCACACAAGCAAAATATTTACTTACACATAATTAATCTATTGAATCCAAACCATTGGCACAGCAAAAGCCTACCATATGTTTGTAAAATACTTTGCTCCTTATTGGTAGGCAACCAATCATGCATCGGTGCTAGGCAGACCGCTCGCTGTCACAGTCGTGAGAGATTTCGGATACCCACATAGGCATGCTCACAAGGGAAAGGGGCAGAGGAAAGGGGAAGTCAACGGCGGAGGCGGCGTTTTTTCCTAATAATGAATAAATTGTCTATATTTCATGCAACATTACACAGAAACTACTCATATTTTCCTCGAATTGTACATGACTATTCCAAGAATTGTCTTTAAAGAACATATTACATTAAGAACAAATATTTATCATCAATATTGTAGTTGTAGGAAGATGCCCCCAAAAAACTGCACCTTTGCAATTTTCGAAAATTTAATGATTTTAATGAAAACAAGACCTACACTTTTCTCTTAAGCATCCTTTATACACTCCAAGGGTAAGAAGATTAATAAAAAATGTGGAAACTTTTTGAGAAAATGTTTTTGAGGCTTCAAGTACAGAACCCTCAAAATTTAAAATTCCACTTTGAACCCCTCAAAGCCTCCGGTTCATTCAGATCAATCTAGGAACATCAATTTCGGATAAAATCATCTAAAGGTTTTAGAAGCTAGTGTTGACCACACTTGAAAGGATGCACAGATAGTTTAGCCATCAACTGATTTTTCACTATCAAGGACCTCAAAACATGGATTCTGGCTATTCGTCATGTTTGAGGAAGTAATTTTCTGTACATAGGAAATCGATTTATCCACTTTTTCATTACAGGGGCTTGACAATAAGAGTTTTCCTGCAGACTATTACAAGACTTTCTTTTCTTACATTCTTATGGGCGAGAAAGTAATAATAATAATAATAATAATAATAATAATAATAATAATAACAATAAAAAACTATTTAATATCAAATTTCAACAATTATTTTCCTGAACTCTCTGTACATTAAATTATAACTGGTCAAATTTATCATTTAATTATTTCAAAATTATGGAGGGGTTCCCATCAGGTAATACTTATCACATCAAATTGTCATGATTCACTGAATGTTAATGCACTGAAACTATTCAATACATGAATAAAGTTTTCTTTTCTCATTTATCACAAATTTCTCTTACTTTGGTTGCTATAAAATGTATACCAGATTAACGCCAAAGCCAAATGTAGACTAATGATGAATAGTAGGATAGAATTATTTACAATTTAAGAGAAATATATAAACATTTTACATTAAACACACAAACATTAATCTGTTAAATGTTTATCTACATCCCACAATTCATAATAACAGAACACTGCACTCTTTCATCGGTATAAACTTTGACTAATTCTCTGCTTCAATATTAAGATAATTATGTCTTTGTCTCATTTAGATAAAAGCACCAGCAAAGTTGGGGAGCCAAGACTGCACAAGCCCATGGACCAGTGGGGTGGGAGCACAAAGTCAGCTCCTTAGCCACCACACATTAGGGGAACATACATAAAATAACATAAAAGGTATAAATAATCTTCATTCTAATCCTCATTACAAAAAGGCATAAGCTCCACATTCTGCACGTTTCAAACAAAGTGTCCAATCCTAATTTTTCAAATTTCATTATTGAAGAGGCTCTAGGTTCAGCATGACTGGACAATATTCCAGCAAATTATTACGACAAATTAAAAGTATAAAAGCTGAGACGTGCAATTGATCCACATGGTAATTTCTACTAAATATAGAGCCAATATGTAATTAGTTTACCTTGATGAACATGAACTATCACTGGTATTTCGAAGGAAGAAAACTTTCTCTGCTGTAGGATTCGGCCATGAAAGGATTCCTTTCTTGTCAACACAACACAAAGCCTGAAACAAAAAGATCACAAAATGTATCCAATACATTCATGTAATTATAATCCATTAACCTAACACTGAGTACTCACTGTCACAGAACCTAAAACATGGAGAAGATTAGTAGAATGACAGAGAATTTCTCCATGTCCTTTAATGACTTGCAAGAAGTAATGTCTGACATCTTGCCATCTTATATCTGGAGCAGCATGTTTTGGCTCTTCCAAATCAGTTTCTTCAAAAGGATCCATTTCCATCTTCAAGAAACAAAATTATTAAAACTTGCATATAAACATGCATGGAAATATACCACAAAGCTATATTTCCTAAAACGTAAATTTGGATACCTGAAGCTGTCAATACTACTCTCCTTTAAATTACTTAATCGAAAGGAAAACATTGGATACGAGTGGAATACCAAAATATTTCAGCTCAGTCTTGTGAAAGGCAGATTTTAATATAATGTAATGATTTGGAGGAAATGTAACAATTCAGGTACTAATTATTTCAAAGGTTTCACATACATCGAAATATATTATGGTATTCATTAACAGTGACATAGCAAAATCCAAGGCATCTGGGATGGGTATGTATGGTGTCACCCCTACTCCCACTCAAGCCAATCCCACACTTCCTGCAATTAAAGAGAATTCTATGACTTTTGTTACTTTTCAATGAAAACACTCCTTTTTATTTCCACACCAATTGTACCTAGCAAGCCTTAGGTAAGGAAGTGGACAGGGCAGAACATACCCTACTGACCAGCTTCCATTTTCAACCTGAATAGGTTAACTTTTATGGTTTTCGCTGTTTTGTGGGAATAAATCCTCATCATCTGCACAAACCTTCAAGATAATACATGCTTTCTCATATAATTTGCAAAATGTTAATAATTATATTGCCAAGAATGAATAACTAATAGTATTTTAGCTATTAAGTGCAAACTTCTCTTTATCAAGCTACAAATTACACATACCATGTCTATTTTTTATAATCTTCAATAACCCACTTTATAGGTAAAATTCACCATTTTGTTGCACACATGGTAAATAAAGAGCTTAGCAATGCTGAATCTCTACATCTAAATGTCATTTAGCAGTATTTGTTGCCATAGCACGTTCGTTTTAAAATTTCTTTAGCTTTAAAAACTTAACCCTCACTTTCATTATTCAATATTTTACAGCAATACATAACTTTCTCTAAACTATATAAGAAAGTAGGCAGTGGATTGCTACAAAATGGCACAAACCTTCTCTTACTAGTTTGGGTCTTGATATGCCAGATCCTCTAGCATTAACTACTGTTCACCTGGGGACAATTTTCAGTGTAGAGCACCCTCGCACTCTCCAAACATCATGACCAATTAGAGACCTTAGGTCAATCTTAGTCCTTGTAACCTTTACCATTGGTCAGCTTTATTAGAAGTAGTTCATGCCTCTATCTCAATGCTTGTACTTTTGTTGAGGATGTAGGGTGCCACTTCCTCAGTTACACACACATACAGATTTTGTAAATTTGTTTCACCTATTATTCAAATGAATTGGTTCCTGCTACATGGTGAGGTGTCTGAAGCAGTACTTTAATACTTTGTGTATAGGAGTCAGATGTACACGTGTAAAAAACTAAGGTAGTATTATTGTTTCCCTAATTTAGTGAGAGCATGCTCAATTGTAGATGATGCATAGATGTTACTTTTGTGGCAGTCGGTCTTGTAGATTTCAATTTAATCAGTATTGCAGTGTAGGATCAATTTAATGCATCTGACATTCACGCAGTGGTGTAGGATGGGTTTGGCAAAGGGTAATCTCCGGGGTCATAGTACGGGAACATTTATTCTACCACTTCCCCACCATCAAAATTATTTTAATATGGTATTTTGCAACCTTGTGGCATATGTATAGTTTTCAATCTATTAAATTTTGCACAGAAAGTAATATGTTAATTATATGCAAGGTGGCCAGGGAAAACAAGGAATGCCCATTTATTCTAATTTTGAGAAAACTGAATTAACATAATTTAATAAGGCCCCAAGGCTGATATGTACGTGCTACAGAGATGAAATAGTTGTCAAAATATAAAATAATTGTTTTGAAACTAAGAGATAAGTTATTATTTATAACATAGTAATAACATAGATTCTAACATAAATTCTTAATCAAGGTATTTTTAGGTTGAATGAAGACAATAAATGTCCATTAATGTTTTCTGAATACAAGGAATATCTCCAGTTTTGAATAATCATATAAACCTTACAAGATTATGGAAAATATTATTTTTATGACCACACTAAATAAACATGAACACAGCACTTTATGACCAGTTTTTTCACTGCAAACTCAAGGGGTTTCGGGTTTTAAAATTATCTTCTGGTCTCTTTCGGCCATTTTTCAAGGGACAAAAGCCATTTAAATATATCTGTGTGCCTGCATTTAAAAGACCCAAAATCCTGACTCATCGTTTTTCCCTTAACAAGTTAGAACAACAAGATTTTTACGCATTTTTTTTTCTCAAAGAGTGTAATGTTACATGAACCATGATTACAATAATTTGATAGGTCAGTAAAGCAACAACACTTTTATGAATATCTTTTGGTAACATTGTCCCCTTAATGTACATTTATAATAAAGAGACAAGAATTTCGTAATGGAGAAATTTATAATCAAACATTGTCAAAATAACGTTGAAAATTCAATAAAATCTAAAGTAAGCATGCCTGTAAGGTGCGAGGATATGCTATTTTGTTTCACATTTGTTAAAAGCCCAGAGAGAATACGTTCAGTATAATGCAATATGTTTATCTAGTATTTGTACAGCAGATATTGGCGATACATTCTGATCAGATTATTTACTTTATGCAGATGATTTGAAAATATTTAGAAAAATTACTGATTATGATGATATGCGCATTCTTCAGCAAGATATTGAGGAACTTAGCAGTTGGTGTCTGAGGAATAGGCTAAAACTGAAAGTTGATAAATGTGTGGTGATGTCTTTCTCTCGCTCTCATTAACGACAACCTGCAGCTTATTATCTTAGTGGACACCAACTCGAGGAAGTCGAATCCGTAAAGGACTTGGGCATCATTATTGACAATAAATTGAAGTTCTCGCATCATGTGGACAAGATGAAATCCAAAGCATACAAGACGCTGGGATTTATACTCAGATCTGGAAGGGAATTTAACAATATCTATAAGTTAATATACCTAAATTTTACTTTGGTCAGTCCAATAATGGAATATTGCTCAACAATCTGGTCACCATACACCGACATTCTTGTGGATCGAATTGAAAATATTCAAAAGAAGTTCTGTAAATACGTCAAGTACTATATGGGCATCAGAGGTCATGACATGACGTATGATCAATTTGAAATATACTCACTTTCCAAGCTGAGACAAATTGCAGATCTTATATATATTTTTTTTTAAATCATTAATTGCGAAGTTGAATGCCAAGAAATATTAGAACAATTTGAATTTGCCTATTCAAAGCCTGGCTTGAGAGCGTATAGATTACTGAATTCAATTAAGACTACTAAAAATTATGTATATTATGGTCCGAAAAATAGAATAGCGAACCTAGTAAATGAATATTGTTCCAGCATAAACTTCTTTGGGGTATCCACATCATCATTCTCGATACAGATAAAGAAAATTATACACAACAGATAATGTGTTATGTTTAAAATATTTATTACGAAGATTGTAAACACAAAAATATGATGTGATACTTACGGTTCATAATCTCAATTTAATTTAATTAATTTAATTATATGCATCGATTGGTTGTATTTAGAAATTGTTATAGTGTATTGGATGTGATTGTGCAGTGTGGTATATAAATTGTTACCTACATGTACAAAGCCGATTGGCATAAATAAGTAAATAAATAAACACATTTTGTAAATATGTGCCAAATAACGATATACATGAATAAAACTAAAGAGGAAATTTTAGGTATGAATCAAAAATATTGAACTAAAGAATCAAATTGCATCAGAGTTTTCACACCAAAAATAGAGTTTTTAATGAATTAATTACATAGTTTAAAAAGTATGCAAAATTATATAAGCCAAAATGTTGAAATTTATTCTAAAAGGAAGATATATAATGTATGTGATAAACAAGTCTATCTTTCTTCTTTCAGAGCTTAAACTTTTAGAAGCTCCAGATCAAAGTTCACATCCATTCTGTATGAAATTTCGTCAACTCAAATTCTATAAATAAGGGTGGTTTTGATAAAATGCATGATTTTGAAGATATAAGCAACAAACTGAAAAACCTGCAAAAAAAATTATTAAAAAAAATTGTTTTGCCACTTTCTTTGTGAATCCAGCCTTTTTTCAGATAGTAAATATAAAATTCACCATCACAAAAATAAATAATTCACGGAATTATATCCTAGATCAACACCTATTGATTATCAAATGATGGAACCATTTTCCCCTCATTCAAACATGTCAAATATAAATGTAAAAGACTTGAGATGACGTACTTTTTCATATATGAAAGTAACACAGAACAGTAAAACAGATGAACAAAAGGTAATATAATTTTTCACCTGTGCCTCCTTAGGTGCATGTAAAACTGCATGAATACGAGCTATGCCAAGCAAGTCCAAGAGAATCCATGCAGTAGGGAAGATGAGAGGAAGCAGAGGCAGTGATGTGATAGCAGGAAGGACAAGGAACATTTCAGTCCAATGTCCTGTTCCCAGCCAAGAACTCAGATAAAAGTAGTGCAAAATATTGGCTAGAATAACACAAACCTGAAAATATATACACAAAACTATTTCAATTACAATATACCAACAATTTCAAAACAACAAAGATGGTTCTGATATGTGATATATTTACATTTATTTATACAATTAAGTGAATAGTACCAAAGGCTTGATAAGCAGAAGCAAAGATATATTTCTGACACTAATAATATTTTGCATACTTTGAAAAAAAAGAATAAAAAGAAAAATAGATCTTCCTAAATTTTAATTCTGAATTATGAAGAAATATGCTTAATTAATCATCAAATTAAAATTATGAAGAAGCACAAAAATTACATGATATCCAGCCAAAAAATATACATTGTTCAAAAGAATAACAGTTTTTTCAATATTTTAGAAGTAGGGTAACCTAAAAAAATTGCCTAAAATGATCAATAAAATGCTCTTAGGTTTTAAAAATGTTCTAAAAGCAAACAAAAACGACATAAACAATATGACCAAAATCAGTTTAGATGAAGAACTCAAGCTATTGGAAAGGTTGCTGATGTAATCAGGGTTTTTTCTATTCATTCAAGTGAACTCGACTTGCAAACTTTTGATTTGGACTGCTCTTTACCTGGAAATATGATCTTTCATTATCCCAAAATCAGCTGAACCGACAATGGCACTTATAGGCTTCACAGAAGCCTTAGATTACATGCAATAACTGACGTTACAATTTTTAAGCGAAGAATTTAAATAGGCTACTTAGGAATTCTGTGGAGAACATTTTATGCATCATGTAAATATTATTTGAAGCAAGTACCATTAAAATGATAGTAAAATTGATGAAATTAGCAAAAAATGTATTAAAAATTAAGGAAAAGGTAAAAAACGACTTAATAGTCGAAATCTATAAAAAATGCAAAAACAATTGCATATAAAAATGTAAATATCAAGGGTTAATTCCTTTTGTCATAACATCAAGTTAATTTATATACCACATGACATTGAACTAAATTGAAAAAGAAAAAAAAAGCAATTTCATTAAAATCCGCCCCTATTTATAGCAGGTCGTTCATAATTTACGTAACGCTAAAGAGGGAGTCTGAGGCAAGATTACAGATTACAAAGAAAAGTTCAAAACTGATATGAAGTATATTCTAGAATTAAATTTGTTGAAGGCGGCAATGGTCACAATTATATATATTCTAGAATCCATTTAAAATGGCACTGAAGACACTTGCTCTTCCATCATCCACGACTGTGTGCGTAGCTTGTGATCAACCATTACTCGCCCAAACATTCTTCCTTCACTCACAACTTGCCCCAATCTTATTGTTAGGTGCAGCCAGCATCACCAACTAATTTCTACTTTAATTATCATTAATTAATTACTTTAATATACAACACAAGTAAAATAAATACAAATTGTTTTTACTGTGCTATAATTTATTTTCACTTTTTGCATTTACAAAGGGGGTTGTCACAAGCATTACGCAATTATTTAGGGGAGTTCAAGTGTGTGTTACAGGTGCACATAAGGGGAGATGGGGTATTGAAAATACTCCAAATTTGTGTTACGTAATTTATGGACTAAGCAAGTTTTGAATATTTGAATTTATTTAGCCATATAAAATGCAAAACATGTGAAAAAATTCAAGAAATTTATAAATCACTCTTAATTATCATATGAAATATACAAACTAAAAGAAATACAGTATTTTTCAGTCATCTGTTTCTGCAAATCAACACTATGTTTTGTATAAATTAGTTGCCTACTTGAAGTAACAGGGAAACCTACAGGTGTGTGACCATTACACAAGATTAAACCTCTTCTGATCCACCGATTAGGACAAATGAGATGACATTCGCCATGCCGCTTTTTTTTTTTTTTTTATCTTTCCAGAACATTCAGCAAAAACCTTGAAACCTACAGCGGTAATCAATAACTCATTCTAGTTCTTTCAAAAAAACACAAATCTACACACACTATTTCACACTGAAACCTTCTTGAATATTAGATTGAAAAATTCTAGAAAAACAGGTTTTTTGGTGGCGGTTTCAAGGCACCTTCTGTGGTGAATTGCTGAAAATCACTTCCCAGCCTTTCTCGCATAAAGTGAATTGTTATAACTCAATTCATCCATTTGAAGATAGTTAAACCTAATTTTGTAATGAAAGAATTTTTATTTAAATCTTCCATCAATACTTTTTTATATAGTAACTTTTTACACCCAATGATGAACAGGACAGACATTTTTCAAATTTCTTTCATTATGAATTTGCATGACACAAATGAACATTTTTTATTCCAAAAACATGTGCCAGAGTCACCTCATTAAGCAAATAGGTTACTAATTCACAATAAATCTCAAAACACTTAACAACTTGCACTTACCAACACAACAAACAGACAGTGTTGCTCAAGATCTTTTATAATGAGACGATGTCTTTCATTGTTATGTAATGTAACAGGTCTAGATAAAGCCATTTTAAGGGCTATTAGAAGATTATTGAGATAGGGGGTCTCCTCGAGTTGATACTTCTTATTTTGTAAAGGAGTGCGTGCAGTAGGAACACTGAACACATCTCGACTTGCATCTGTTGTAGGCCCGTAAACATCATGTGCTTGTAAAACAGGGGCATCATCATCCTGTAACATGTTACAAAAAACCAATGTACAAAAAGGAAACATGCAACATAACCCAGAGTTTCATGAAGAAAATGGTCTAGTGGATGTTGAGGAATAAGAAAAAATAATATTGCTGGATATCCTGAGCTCTCATGGGCACACTTTATCACAAAGTCAGATTATGATACACAGAATTGGAACTGGCACACTACTTTTTAACACAAACACTGTTTGCTTGTTCCAAAACACTAATATCAACAAGGAAGGATTTTTATGAACTCATGAAACAGTCTAGATAACTTGCCCTTGAAGCCTCATAAACATCATCCATCCTCCAATAATTCATGGCATATTAATTTACTTACATCTATTGGAATACAGTTTCCTGGTGCTTGTTGGCCTGGTCTGATGTCAATTATATCTCCACGTACAAGAAGAGCCCATGGTAAGTTAACTAACTTTCCATCTCGGTAGGTCCATTGGAGAGTAATACAAGGAGAATATGGAGAACACAAATGTGGATAGTTTTCAGGAAGCCAAGAGCATTTCATTTCTGCCTCTATGAAATGATCAAAATGTTTTATACTTTAAAAAGTAGTATATTTCAATAGAATCATCACATTATTGTGCCAGAAATAAAAAAAAAATGAAATGGGCAAAACACAACACAATATTTTGCATCAGTGAGTGGGAGGTCATTCTTTACCTATGTGATCCATACATTTAATCAACAATACATGCTGATAAAATGCAAATTTGGAACAGCTTAGTTTATGTACCTAATGTGCAGAAAGAGATTGTCAATTGTTTTATAATCCAATGCTCATTCAGATTATGATGTACTAGACAAAAGGAGAAAGACTTTTTTTCATGTTAAGAGTTATTCAGTACATTTATATGTCTGAAAACAATACTTATAAATACATTCTAATAAATCTTCTGCTCTATAATTACACTAATTTTTTTTATTGATAATTTTCTTTGTACTATTATAAGGAAGAAATTATTTTTTCCTATTGAGAAATAATTAATAATGTTCTTAAAAACTCCAATTGGAGCAATAAAACTCCACACTGTAATTGTCAAAGCTCACCTTCTAAAACTTCGATAAGATTACACACCCTTTGAGGGATTTCAGTATGTCGTAATTTATTCTCCCTTAATGCAACATATATGTTGACACATAAAAGAAGTAGAACAAACAGACTTTCAAAAGGAAGACAGCTGTATCTGAAATTAAAAATTTCAAATTAAACAAATTCCATGTACATTATATGATAAAACACAAAATTAATAATAATAATAATAATAATAATAATAATAATAATAATAATAATAATACAAATAAACTGTAGAAAAACATTCACTAATATATTATATTAATATAATTGTAAAACAAAGTTCAATGAATAGCAAAATTGCATTATAACGCATTTTCTTTGCTTCCAAAATAATATTTTATACATTTGACTTATTAACTTGAATAATTTCTCAAATATAATTACACGGATTCTAACAACTTAAAAAATAAAACTCATAATAGATTATAAAACACTGCAAACAATAATAATAAAACAATAAAATTAAAATTATTAAATGACAAATTAATAAACCAAAAGTTATAAATCCAATACTAAGGATTTCAAGTGTCACTTTTAGTTAAGTAAAAATATGAGAGGGAAGAAATGTGTTTACCTTTGGTCTTTAACAGTAATACCTACAAAGAAAAGTACCAAACAATTCCAGACAAGGACCACAGATGAAATCCAACAAACTGTTGTATATTGACTATTATGATGAAATACATTTTTTAGCCAGGTGTAATTCCTACAAGGGTCAAAGCAGATATGTAAGCAAACAATGCATTACTCTTGTATTAAATGACAAAAAATCAAAACTCATTTTAAATAGATGCTGATATCTTTCAAATAACCATGACCATTACAATATGATTGATTTTGCAATATTAGGTCTACAGCTAATATAACAGGCCTTTTCAGAAAATTATATCTACCTCTTCAAATGTGTTTGTTGATATTCATCAATTGTACTTTTGATATCACTTCGAAGTCGGTTCAATGCTTCTTTGGTTGTAAGTCCCAAATGTCCTTTTCCATTCATACAATGTTCTGTTTTTGCCATTTCTACTGATTTCATACAAGTGATTCTTATTGTTCATTTATTTAAAGGTTAATTACACAGAGCGGTTCAGACTCATGGTATTTAAGAAACTTTCGCTTCAACACGAAGTAAATGACACTCTGTTGACACTATTGCAGAACCGTAGGTACTTATTTATTTGTGAACAGCTGAGATCTGCCTTTTTTTGATTCACAATACAGCCGACAGGTACCTGGTATTAGCGAGCAGGCAGGAAATAGGACGAAAAGGTGCAATATGAAAAACACAACATATTCTATTTCACCTTTGAAACGAAAATAACTACATTCTCCAATCCGTTATGCATGGGTCACCTTACTTCTTACTAACGCAGAACACCCGAACCCGTGTGACGCGAACATCACGCCCCTTCTTTTCACCCCCGAAGCTGGCCCGACGTCCCCGCCCGCTCGGTCGCAAGCTGCCGTAAAAGAGCAGAACACACTGTCGAGATTCTCTCTCTCTCTCTCTCTCTCTCTCTCTCTCTCTCTCTCTCTCTCTCTCTCTCTCTCTCTCGTAACTTGCGACTTGTAAGGGCGTACATGAAGGATTTATGGAACGAAGCAGTCCAAATTCAGTTCTTTGAATTCGCTTGAAATCAGACCACATCAAACCGGTGCCCTTATCGTGAGATAAGATCCAATACGTACTTTCGTACTGTGCGATGAGTTAGAACATTGGACAGTTGTCCAATCCAAAACATTAAAAAAAAGTCCTGTTTCTAGAAACTATTTTCTCCTTGTACTAATTTGAATGCGTAAACCACGAAGTGCTTCAGTGAAGTGTTAAAAATTGGAATTTCAAAATAACTGTAGTTTAATTGCAACTCCTTCTTACAAGATTTTATTACATTATAATGGAAATTTGTGCTTTTCGAGTAGTGCATAATCTTTAGTGTCAGTTACAATTTTACAATTCCATTAATTCTAATAAATCAAAATTATCTTACCGCTTGTAAAATGTGTTACACGGGTACCGTCTAAACAAATACTAGAGACCGGGGCTGCCAGAAAAATGATGCTTCAATAAATTTCAACCACGGTTTATTTCATTTAATTTTTTGTTTTGTTATGTTTAATGAACATGTGAGAAATTAAGTTTATAATTGATAATTCATTAACGTTTGGAATGCTTCAATATTTTTTTATCGTTCTGTAGCCTATGGACATTTCTTTTCCAAATTCATAGTTTTTAAGTCGTACACTGTAAAATTGAATACACTTAATATTGTTCTCAGTAATGATTAAAAATTATCTTTTGGCGAGTACGAATTGTGCGAGGAAGGGGAATGTCTTCTCCAGATAGTTTGATGTACCTTGCGAAAAAGTATTAATTTGTTCCGGCAAGTGACGCGATTAATTCATGCCTGTTAGCCTCCTTTACGTTTGTTTGTTGTTTTTTTAAACTGAAGAGTGACATTTATTTTGATGGAACACTAGCACCCGCTTTGGTTTATTAAGAGGCGTCCATGAATTACGTCGTAACGCTAAAGAACGGGGAGGGGGTTTGAAGCAGCGTTACGCTGCATTGCATAGGGGCAGGGTGGGTATTTGATTAGTGTTACGTAACATTGATATTTTTTCACATTTTTACTTTACCTTATACGTAGTATAGTATAGGGAGTAAAATACGTAGTATTGGGAAAGTTATGTAATGCTGCGGAAAATCGATTTCAAGATTTCAACGGAAATACACGTTTTGGGGCCCCCTGATACCGAAAAAGTGTTATTTTCGCCCTTCCATCCATCTGGGGGTAGGCGAACAACGCTAGCGCCTAGACCACGCGAAGGATTTTTTTTTTTTCAAATTGAAGAAACCCCTGTTCATTTGGCCAGAGTCAAAGCTCTGCGATTTTGAAAATCATTCATTAGTTTTTGGGTGTACTTGAAGCCCCTGGACATTCTCAAAATTTTCTCAAAAATGGCTCCAAATTTTTTCTTTAATTTCTTGTAAGAATAGAGTAAAATGCATTTATAAATGTGGCATAGGTCCGATTTCCACAGTTAACTCTGAATTTTCGACAATTGCAAAAGTTTGAATTTTTTCAGTTTAACCTACAACAACAAAATTAAGGATAGAGATTTTCTCTTCATATAAAATTTGTTCTCCATAATGAGTGCTTTCATTAAGATTGTGTACATTTTTTGAAAATCTTAGTGGTTTTCGCGCAATATTGGGTGCAATATATGCCTTAAAAAAAATACAAAAACAAGATTTTCTCAAATCAGCTCCAATTTTTTTTCTTTAAACTTTTGATAAGAATAGTGTTAAATGTACTCTATAAGATGACATAGACGACATGCTCTATTCTTTTGTTTTTTGAAAAATTACAAAAATGTAATTGTTTTGACTTGTCTCTCGTGTCAATATTTATAATAGCATTAATTTGTTCACATTACTATATTTATGAGTATATGTGTTTTAAGTAATGTCAAATAAAATTTGTCGAAAACTCCGTTTTCGTGAAAACTAGCTCAAACTTCCGCATTTTCAGAAACGCTCAAACGCCATTTTTTCAAAAACCGCTCCAAATTTTTCTTCAAACTTTCCAGAGGGATGGTGTTAATTGCACTCTTCAATGTGACGTAAAGTTCATTTCGGTGTATTTTTTTGTTTTGTCAAAAATTACACTAATATAATTTTGTTGAAAGATCTTTCATGGCTTTAGTATGCACATTTCCAGCGATTTGTAAACATTATTGCATTTGTGATTGGAAGTGCTTGAAATTGTTTCATATGAAGTTTTTCGAAAACAATAGTTTTCTGCGAAAAGAAGTTCAAATTTCGCATTTACTGTAGCGCTCAAACGCCAGTTTTTTAAAAACGGCCTCAAATTTGTTAAAGAAAATTGTCTTTAAAGTCGAGGTTTTAATGTTCTTTAATAATCTTAAAATAATATTTTCGGTTAGGAAACCGAAAATTAAGAAAATATCAAATAAATGTACTTTGTGCGGCGATAGACGGCAGCTGACAAGCGTATGTGGCAAGTCCGAGTAGCTAGCCGAAACCAAAGGACATAGAAAACTAATACGGGAAAGTATATGCCTTTCTCTAACACCACTAGTTTAACATATGTTGAAATACTTCATTTTTTGAGTCTTATATTAAAACATTAAAATATTAAACTATTTTAGTTGTTTTAAAACAAATAATTTACATTTATTAGAAGTTGCTATAATAAATGAAGATTTTTTTTATCAATTTTGTATTGAATCTGAAAGATTACGAAGAAAATATTCAAAACTGATCTGTAGTACGGTAGTCTCTGGTAATAGTGAACTCGGATATAGTAAACCCTTGGTTATAGTGAACTTATATTAGGATTTATTTAACCGTGCAATTGAAGTAAATCAGCTGTTCATCCAATCGGGAGCTTGAACGTCCCCATAGTGACATCACTGTAGAGGCATTTGACTGGCCTGGAACTGAAGTGGCCTGAGAAATATTTTAGCTAAAATCCAGATTATGGTAAGTTTGATTTCAACAGGTAAGCATCTATACATTCTTAAGCGATCTATGTGTCACATGTCATTGTAAGTGACGCATAATAAAAATACCCCTTTAGTGTAGGCAGATGGTTTTAATGTTAGTCAATTCTTAAGTGGTCTAAAAGTCACATTGTGATTCGTACCATATACCACTTTTGTTTCAGACTAGCCATATAAGCTCCCGATTGAATGAAACTGCAACAGCTTATATGTGTCAAGAGCACGACTAAATAAATCGTACTATAATTCGCAGGTCCCATTTCACTTCCATTACAAGTAAGCATAAGAAGATTCAGTTATAGTAAATCTCAAGCTCGGCTATAGTGAACGTAGGAAATAACGTCCTGGAAATTATTCTTTAATTACTAATTAATTAATAATTAATTTTTAGTCCTGAAAATTAATTCCCTCCTGGACATAAATTTATCGCCTCAGTGCAACATATTCCAACATTAGGTAGCTTGAAAAAAATTTCGTCGGCGAAAGGTCATAATCTACGTAGCCTCTCCTGAGGTGAAGGAATGAGGACCTTACTGATGACTTTAAAACACGTATCGAAACTACTCCGTACTGTAATAGCTATTAACATACCTAGAAATATGAATGTTATTACTGCAGAGGCCAAAAGTTAAAAATCGAGGTGGAGCGTAAAGCCGAAATTTTTAATTTGAATGAGGTAGTAACATCACTGTAACATTTCGTGGTATGTTCAGCATTTTATCGGTCGTCATAAATTTTCAAGATTTATGCAAAACTTTCGACATTACCGCGTTAGTAAACAAATGAATTGTTGTTGTGGCACGTTAGTTCAATAGTGTGAGGTGTTGCTTGCGATATATCTATTTAAACAATATTCGTATTCCGTGGTTCGAGAAAAGATGCTTGCAAATAATTCTCCGGAACCTAAAGATACCTAAAGAAAGAAAGTTCGAGCGTCGACTTCCATTGACAACACCTTCAGATCGTCAGGAAATATGATTACCAGAGGAGAGTTTCATTTGGTGGAATGCCAAGAAAATGAGGTCAATTTATTTACTATACATTTTAATTGTTCTATTAATATTACAATTAACAATAATTATCCCCAAAACTAATATGAGTTACTTTTATTCTGAATTGTTTGAATCTGATTTGTTTGGTACATCGCCAAGTTTTTTATCAATAAACATTGCGATGAATCGATGTTTATTTACGTTGCTAAGGAGATTAAATTTCTTAATATACAGGTAGGTACAGATGTACTTAACAAACGTGCATGGTTGCATGTTAACAGGGGTTAAAGACGCATGTGACTGACAAAGAAATGAAAAGCACTAACTTGCAAAATGTCTTAATGTCTGCTGCTCTGCTCCCTCTGAAAATAGCGACTAAGCTCATTTAAAAAGACGATAAAAGGAAACATTGAAAATTTTAATGTAATAATTAAAATATGGAAGACTGAAACAATGGCGGCCGGTGGATTGCGAATTAGGTGGGAGGTCATGCACGTCCGAACTATCATATACTTTATTATACCTCTTCAAAATATTTATTGACCGAGGAAAACTGGCATGTAGAGTACAACTGATTTGCACGTATTGGGATTTTAATCCTTGACAACTTTAAATTGATAACGAAAGATACAATTGTGCTCACGTGAAATAAAGAGATTTTTTAAAAAAACATTTCCAGCAAACAAAACTGTGATTTATGAAATCAGATGAAAGAGTCGATATTCTTAGCTTACACGCTACTCCAAGTACACCCCCTTTTCCTCAAGCTTCCATTGCCTCTCATGCACCAGCTATACTATGTAATATACGGAGGAACTCCCTATAGTCTACGATGCTACCCATTCCAAAAACATTTATCTTTTGCATAATTGGGCCCTTAAAACTAAATTCGTCCACAAAATTTGCTATGGTGGTATGCATAAATTAAACGAATCGACTTATTGCAATTTAAATACTTTCTGCAACTTTTCCAAAGGTTTGTTTTTCTGGAAAGGGCACCGCCCTTGAGCCCATAAGGAACAGCCGCCACTGGACTAAAATCTAGAAAGATCTTACCCTCGCAAATGCTGCGAATGTGGAAAGTAAGAGATGCGATAACTTTGCTAAGATAAATTTAACGTCTCTCCTTCTGAGAAGTAATTGACATCAATAATAAATTAAACGATTGAAACACAAATTAAGAAATTATTTTTGGAATAACACATACGTATCTTTAATGTTTTATTACCTGAACATGCTTGATACGTGTAAGGATAGATTTATGGCCTCAAAACAATTAGGTACCACATTACACAGTCGTAATTTCTATAATTCAAAAAGGTCTGCATGTTTACAAATTCTTTTTGTTTTCGTATGCAGTTTCGGATGAATCAAGTAATTGAATTTATACCTTTAGCTAAAACAGCACGTACCTTTTCATCCGTATTTTCATGCAGAAATAAGCGAAAAGTACTCAAATTTCGTAAAATTATACATGACCTTATTTCAAAATCTTAAAAAACATATTTAATTAAGGCAAAAAATCTCTATATTTAATATTTTAGTTGAAAGAAGACGCCGAGAAAATTTTAAATATTTGCAATTTTCGAAAAATTAGATTTTTTAACGAAAATGAGACCTGCGTCATTTTCTTAAACGTTCTTCGCCCTATCTATACAAAAACATTAATAAAAAACTATGGAGTAACTTTTTTGAACATTTTGAAAATGGCTCAGGAGCTTAATTTATAAGGCACACCCCTAAATTAAAATATCGGTTTCAAATTCTAGAGGTCGCGACACGTCAGATCAAGAGGAATATCAATTTTGGAGAAAATCGGCTGTACGATTAAGCCGCAAGCGTTGTTCACAGAGAGACAGACAGACGGACGGACAGACGTTTTGCCGTCAATCTATTTTTTGGTAGTAAGGACCCACAAAACATGGATTCTGGTTACATCACGTGTTAGAGGACCTTTTATCCAAAATTAGCAAGTGGATTTATCAACTTTTTCATTACAAGGGCCATGTAATAAGAGTATTTCTGTCGAAAATTCGCCGTTTTTTCGCAAAGTATTACATAACTTTCTCTCTACTGCGGCAGCGGTAGTAAGTAGTAGTGAACAACGTTTAAAGCTACCGCGCTCAACGTTGGCTGCTCATGCGCATTCCAGTTCAATAAGAAACCGCGATGAGGAAGGGGAGCGCATCCTGATTCCTGATGCCTCTGGCAGTGTCGATGGAAAGCACCTGTCAGTAGTGATCACCTGTGTGAATGCATGTTCCAGTTGTAAACAAACCACTGTGCGTCACGACAGGGAGTTTGCCCTTTATAGTTGTAGAACTTCGTGTTGTTGAAGACATTTCTTTTGTCGGTTTATAAAGATAATGTGTGAATACTATTGTGGACACCAGCTTTAAGCCAACTGATAAACACCGAAGGTCACGAAATGCCGAATTGCGCGACACGCTGAAAGAAGGCATGCCTATTTTCACGAAAGAAAGTTCACCTAACTTCAAGCTGTAAAAGAATAAGAATTTCAATCTTTGGCAGAGTTAAGATATTTAAGTCAAAATGCCCGATTTTAAAGTAAATGACAAGCTTAAAAGTGTCCTTTATAAGTTTTTAGAACCCAATTATTCCATCACCGATGACATGTACTTGGAAAAGTTGTTGTTGCACTTCCGCGAAGAAGATAAAATTTCAGGTTTGTTGGTATTATAACTAATGGATATTTGTAATTTTCTCTTTAACGTGGATGGGGACAGTGATTTGTAAAATCGTTTTTAATGAAGTTACCCCTCCAAAGAAGTGCTGTTCTGCACTTGATTTTGCTCTGATCATTTATTTCCAGAATAATTTAATATGACAGTTGCATATTTTAGTTGATTTTTACTTATTTCAGTATTTACTGAATGGATTTTCTATGTCTTGGAAAAATGGAAAGAAACTCCTCGCCAACCTTCTTTGGGAGCTTTTGTACTGAGAATTTTGGGTCTTATTGTATCGGAGAAGAAGCGATTTAAGTTAATGCAAAAGGAAAATGTGATTCCCAGAATCATTGATTTAATGAATATTCGTTATAATTCCAATCTATCTATGAAGTTGGGATATGTAGCAATGTTATCATCACTGGTAAATCATGAATATGGTTGTGATTATCTTTCCGAATCTGGTAAGTTTTTTAAAAGGCGTAAGTGTAATTAAACTCTCAGTTTCACACACTCTCTTAAAACTTAATATTATATTGTTAAAAGTTACATTCTTATCAGTAGCTTAAAGAAATTAGTGTAGGCGTGCCCACTAAATTTTTATCCAGGCCCTTTCATAAAGGTATATAGCAAACACATATAACTTAAATAATTAGTAACTTAAGTAATAACTAAATCTCCGAAAACTAGGCCCATTTTTAACCAGACATCATGGGACCAAACGTTACACCTCTGATTCTTATTAATAGCACATGTGAAATTTAAATAATATATATCTAGATTCCAAGGAAAACTGTTGTCAGGGTGATAAAATGAATGAAAGGTAATTTGAAACATCAGTGGTATAATTTAATATGCATTTACAGATGCTGCGTATGTTTTGTGCTTTAGGTTGTTGTGTGCATTTTATCAATTCCAATTTTCTGAGTGGAGTGTGTGGTAGTGTGTACATGTAATCATATTCATTGTTATATGTAGACTTACTTAATGAATCACTTTGAATTCTTGCATATTCTTCTAGGCATTTTGTTCGTGCACTATTTAGAACGGTATTAATCACTCTTGATTTTACCTCAACAATTCAGTATTCCATACTCTGTTGCCCCTTTTCAATTGCAATAATGGGATACAATTTTGTATAATGTTATGTTCAGCACTTGTCTCCTTTAAGAATTTGCTTAGTGGAATAAGAGCAATAGTTGGACAGTGGCTCTTGAAAATTCAAATTACAGAAAATGACAATCTGAATATTAAATCTCAATTGTCTATCTACAAAATAATAAAAAGTAAAACCATGCTTCACTAAATTCTTTTCTGTTCGTAAAGAAAAGTAAGGTTAAATGCGTTCAAAAACATGAATTTAAATTGAATCCCAAAAAGTATAATGTTTATAATTAAATTTGTTCAAAAGAATTGGTTGCCCTGATCAGGATTCGAGCACCTGCCTTCTTTTTTGCCCAGCTGTTCTGACCACTAAGCTACCAAGACAATCAATCCTTTGAACACTTTTAATGAGTGCAATTATTGCTCGTTGTATGTATATAGTTATCACCTTTCCCGTCACCTTGTTACAAGCAATTACTAGGTGACTGGAAAGGTGCCAATTATGTACATACAAGGAGTAATAATTGTGCTTGAGAAAACTGTTCAAAGGATTGATTGTCTCGATAGCTTAGTGGCCAGAGCAGATGGGCATAAACCAGAAGGCCCGGTTCGAACCCGGTCAGGGTGACCGAATCTTTGAACAAAATTTATTATTGAAATGCCCTAACATGGTCACAATTTGGATTTCTTTACGACTTTAGGATATATGCTTCAACTGTAATTGCGTCCAACATGGTGGCAATTAAATAGTATAATTTTTATAAAATTTTTAATGCATTGAAGTCACTTATTCTAGGTTTTTGTTTGTTTTTTTTTCTTTTCAGAAACGTGGAAAGATGTTGTGAACTACTATTATGAGGATACAAGTATTTATATTAGTCGAGAATGTCAAAAATTTATTTCAACTTATATAAATACTGTAATAGATGATAATCCTGCTGTTTGTGAAAATGTTATTAATTACACTCTGAAGACCTTATTGGTCAGTGATGAGGTGCTCAAAACAACTCTTAAAGACACAAATGGGGTTGCAAAATTCAAACCAGTGATTGAGATGGCAAACCACTTATATGAAACTTTATTGTTTGATCCCCATATTTGTGCCACGAGTATGATCCTTGAAAAATTTGACCTCGAAATGATTGCATGGAAACTTCTTGATGGTACTGAAGACATGCTGCTGACTAGCATATTATCAAGACTTTTAACTTCCTTGTATTTTGTTTCAATGCAATGCAAAAACAAGTCTGGAGAAATTACCCATTCTGATTTCAAACTGTTTGAATCAAAATTATATAATTTGTTAGGATTCATTATTCCAAAATCTGGAAAATTTAGTTTAAATATACTTGTTCAGTCTCAAATTTATTGGTATAAATTATCTCCAACAGTTTTATATGAGCCAGAAAGAAACTCAAAACAGTACATTTTCGAGAATCAGCTTATTATTCTGCAGGTAATCTTACGTTTTGTTGAATGCTTTGTTTAATGTATTAATGGATGCACAGTATCAATTGAGACATTAGTATGAAGATTTTATAATTTATTATTATAATAAGGTATGTGGCCATACTTTAGAGAGCAACTTGAACTTTTTGTTTCAGTTAATGCCAGTTCTTGGTAGTATAGTGACCACAAGAATTTCAGAAAATGAATGCTTGGATTCATATTGCAATAAACTATTTGAATTGACTTGTGAAAGTATCCAGCGATTGTGTTATGTTTTCAGAGACTCTATAGTAGCACAAGATAACAGACCTGAATCTCTCCACACAGGTGTCCTCAGCTTGATGCAAATTAAAGACATAATTCACAGGGTAAATGTCAATTGCTACTAATGAATATGAAGTTATAAATGAGTTGTGTAATGGAAAAAACACTGTTTTTTTTTTTTTTTAAGGATCAAGCAATTATTATGTTTCAAGCCCTTATGTACATATTAAAAGATTTTGTTCCCGAACTGGACCCTCATCCTCCAATGCAGTACTCTGGGCTTAGCAGTGATGAGATCTTGATTCTATATCCAGAAGTGTTATCCTCGATTCTGGAAACCCTTTCCTCACTTATTGATTGTTTTCGCATCAACTGGAGGGAGAGTCTGGAATCAATATGTCTCTTTACTTTCATGAATCAACTTCTCAAAAATCCTCATCTTTCTAGCAAGGTGTGGTAAATTAAAGTTAACTTGTTTCATTGAAAAAATTTGAGGAAGTTCTAGATTGCTTTTTGACTCTGTAAAAATATAATACTTTGGAGTTTCAGTGTATAATTTTGAAATGTTTGTTATTTGTATTGTCAAGTATAGTTTATTCAAATTTATTTATAGCTTGCTGTGAAAACTTTGAAACTCATGCAAGAAGTTATTCAGAATTTCATGCCTCCAAACTTAGCTTTGCTCGTTAACACGTTGGAAGGTTCAACTATAAATCAGCTTGGGCCATTATTATTTAAACGAATGCATGATGTGAGTTGGGAAGTCCGAGATAGTGCTCTGGAAGTTCTTCGAATAGTCACTACTATAGCAGAAATTAGTATGTTTGTTTATATTTCACTTTCACTTTAATAGTATTATTGCTATTTTAGGATGAAATTCTTTTAAATTTTATTTATAGAATTCACTGCATTCCAAGATCATATTTTAGAAAATGAACTATGTGCATTGTGTGTATCCATGGCGGTAGATGATCTTGAAAGTTATGTACGTGCCACAGCTCTTAGCTGTTTGTGCGCCATGGTCAGGGTGGAGAAATTTTGGGCACAGAGTTTGTCTTTACAGAATTTGCCTGTGAGTTGTTAACTATTTGTATTGTAATTCGTTATATTGCATTTCATAAAAATTGAAGAAAAACTTTATCAAACTTTGCTTTTTCAGGGAAAAATGATTAACACTTTAAAATTTGAAAGTGAAGGCATTGTGAGAAGAGAAGCTGCTGCACTAATGAAGGAATTATTTGAACATCATAAGATCCCGTAAGATGCTCTCTTAATGGATCCTTTGAAAACAAGAAGATATTTATTGTTAATTTTTAATAATTGTTAAATGCACCAGCACCTCATCTTTTGTTCTCCCATAAACCCTCATAAAATAATCCCTGTTTTACCCCACCAGTTTACCAATCTCCTTCCTTACATAGGCAAGTGGAGCTTTAAAAACCAAGACAACATACGAACCTGAACTATGACAACTGAAATGAAGTCTCAAAAGAGACGGGCATTTCTGGAACTAGGACGATCTGAAGCACTTATGTTCGATGTATTTTATGATCCAATGTTTTCAAGCTATAAGCTGATTTGTAATGAGTTTTTGTCATCGGTTAAGTCTAGTGATTTTACTGTAAACACTGGGTAGTAAATAACTGAAAATTTATTTAAATTTTTTGCTAAAATATATCGGTTTGCTTAACAAATGATACAGATCCTATTTTCGTTAAAACCTCTAAAATTTTGATAATGCAAAAATTCAAGTGGATAGGATGGTGACTCAAGGAGCCTTTGTGCCCAAGTTTTAATATTTTTGTAAGCTCGACTCAAATTATATTATGCAACCATTACAAATTATTTAATAAAGTACAGTCAAACCTACTGATAATAGAAGAGTAGCAACCGATCACAATTTCTGTTAAACACAGTTTTCCATTTTACTAAATTTTCAAAATTTACTTTGCCAAAAAAAAAAAAAAAAATGGACTTCTTCAAAAAGTAATTATGTTTTATTAAATCACTTTTGTTGTATATATATGCAACAGCATGGTTTTACCGCTGTTAAAAAATCCATTTTATTGTACTCAGATGTGATCTCTGGAATACTTTTCAGCCACTCACCTGCTGCATTGTGATCGCTGTCATTTGCTTCTCTGCATAGTGTTGCAAGAAACTTGATGTCTTCTCTTCAATGATTCCACCCATCTGTTTCAAGACTTAAAATCACTCTGGCAGCCCTTTGTTTGGAGAGTGAAGAGTTTTCTAGCAACCATTAATCCATAATAGATTCTTTCTCTTGAAAATTGTATACACTCGTGTCTCCATTATTCCAAATTTTTCACAAATTGCATGGACTAACATTCATCCTTGGTGCTCTTAACACTTCCACATGTTCTTGCAATATCAAAAGTTTCTCTTCCCAAAACTCATCATCCACAGAGCACTAGACCAAAGACATGGTAGGTACTTAACTAAAAACTTGTACGGTTCAACCGCCTTGAATATTCAAAGCTTTTCAAACAAGTATCTTGGGCTGGGAGGAAAAGGACAGCATATGCGACATTGGAAATTTGTCAACTTATTGTGGATCACCCTGCATGCCTCAAGCAGTTATGAAGGTCATTTCTTTGTTTTTCCTTTCTGCAACTGCCAGGTTGCCAGCTCAAAACGAAGTGAAGAGGCTGTCTGTTTCCGCGTTAATCAGCTTCTATTAATAGCAAGTAAACTTACATGCACTTTATATAGCAAACACATTAGACCAATATATTTTTCCATCAAATGCAGTTTTCCTTTATTACCAGGTTCCATTTTCGAGGTAGGCTGCATATGCTGCAGTAGCATCAGTAGTTTTCGATATTATTTTATAACGAGCAATAAAAATGTACTTTTAACTAACGTTTCAGTAAATCAGTAATGGATGAAGTATTCAAGACAATGGTTATTGCTGCAGTTAAAGACCTCCATTGGGAAGTTCAGGTGAATGCCCTCGACTTTTGGCAAAAGGTAATTGAGCAGCAAATGAGCAACCAAGGAATGATTGATGGAGTTTTCCCATCTGTGACTTTCTCAAAAGAAAACAGAAAGATAGTTACATTGACTGCAAAAGAGATCAAAGTAAGGCTTGGTAAAGTTTTAGAAGAACTGGCTCGACTTGGATGTCTTCAGGTATTGTTAATACATTTGAATAATTGTTCTCATAATTATTAATGAAGAGAAGTTGCATAACTTTCTCCTTCCAATCCAAAAAATGCTTCAAAAATATTTTTTTGAATTGCTGTTATCTTATTTCAACAAATTATTATTATATTGTTGTTACAAAGTCACCAACACACTTTCAAACTTTTATAGGTGCTGTTGACAACAATAGAGGATTGTAATCATCAAGTGGTAACGAAGGCGGTATTAATCGTACAGTACATATCAAAACTACTCTCTCAACATGGGGTACTTTCTTCACCATCTGAAGAAAAAGATAAAAAAATTTTGCCTGATGTTGTAAGTTCAAGTTGCAAGAAAAGTGATATTAGTGTACCACAATGTGTACCGGTCTTGGACACCTTTGGAGCAGACTACAGTGAATCGTATCGCCCTGCCCAAAAAGTAGCACGATTAGTTAGGAATGGAGAGATAGAATCCTCATATGCAGTGCCCTCTCATGATAATTCTGAAATGTGTTTCAATAGTTCAGACCAAGTTATAGATGCTATTGTTAAAGAAAGTGATATCAGTTTACTGCAAAGAGTTTATCAGGATCAGCTCAATATAAACGATCAAGAAGAAAGAAAAATGGTTTCTAAATGCATTACATCTGAAGAGTTTTTGGCAAAACTATCAGAGATTAATCTAACAAAACATGTAGCAAGTAGATCTGAATGGCTTGATTATTGCTGTGATGATTTGAGTTCTTTACTTGATGACATTTTGGCTTCTAGTATTGGTCGAGAATCAAATGCTGTTGATTGTTATTGAGAAGTGAATGTATTTCCAAGATAGCATGACTATTATAAGGTCATTATGATGTAAGTGGCATGTTATACTTGTTACAAACTTTTTCATGTAATTTTATGTAACTGAATATATGAGAACTAATGTTTATATTTGAAGCTTTCATTGGGCATTTTTAAATGTTTTAAATAAAGAAATATATTTTTCATTTACTGAAGACTTCTTTAAATCTTCTGCACTTCTAGAAAACTGTTACTGGTATTCCAGATCAAAACACACATTCATACTAGACTACGACAAGATCATATACTTCGTTTCTTTACATTCCTTTCCCTCTCTTCACGAAATGCAAGGTTGTTGGTGAAATGAATTATAAGCTGATAAAAGGATTGGGTTGAATAATAGAGGTGGAAGAGTTGCAAACATTTCAAATCTACTGTTCACGGTTAATTTGCAAAAGCATATATTAGTTTTAAGGTCGGAGTCATCTTCAGAAATGAGGCATTAAGAACTCCAATAAGGAGAAAGATCTGAAATTTTGACAATCCCAAAATGTGTATTTTTGGTATATAGTGGAGCTGGTCATGACATCATCCCCCGTGTATAAATTCTGCATAACTGGTAATTTATTTTAATCGACTGAATTTAATTCTTAAGATGCGTTTGTTATCAAAACCAGGACTTCCATTTGCAGCAATTTTAGGAGGCAAAATTCCTCACAGATTCACAGGTTTGATATGATCTGCAGGTAGAATGTACATTTTAGATGGACTTGAACTTTATCCCTTTGTGAGATTATGAACTTCACAAAAATCCAAAATCATGTTTTGGTCAATTGTAGAGATAGTCAGCAAATACATCATAAAAGTGAAGATAGTAATACCAAAAAACTTTTAACTACAGGAGTGATTGCTCCATAATTTTGCAGGAATACTTTAGAGCAGGAAAAACTAAAAGAACTTTTTTTTTAGTTGGGTTTTCTTTGACAGTAGTTTGTTTAAACGTAGCCAACAAAGAAAAACTGGGTCGCCTGGATGGCCGAGATCGTTAAAGCAGTAGTGTCGTAGTGATCTCGAACTGAAGGATCATGGGTTCCAGACCAGTCTCAAGCATGGTTGTATTTGTGTTTGTCCTTATCATCACCATAACATATCACCTTGATGTTAGTGTCTGTCCTTAAAGATAAGCGGGCACCAGGAATAAACGACATAGAATGTGAACTACAACTATTTTAAATAAAAATAAAAAAGATTGATGTTCTAGTACTGGAAACCAGAGTAAAAAAAGAGTGATTATAACTCCGCCTTAAATAGTTCGGCCTCCTTAATTTAGAAAAAGGCAATTTGGGCACGAAATTTTTTTTTTTATTAATGAAACATACAGAAATATTCTTAGTAGTTTATCAGATGCTAAATAATTCTTAAATACAATCTGAATGATTTCGTTGTTTAATATTAGTTTTGTGTACAAATCTCAGTTCAAAATTTCTAGGTCGCTTCATTTACAATCATTTTATATCCCTCCAAACATTTGTGGGAGGGGCATGATTGCTCACCTAACCCATCAATGCCAATTTAATGGTTGAATGAATTATTTAAATAACTAACTTTTACTGGGGACAGTGTAAAACTAAATATTACTGATATAGTATACATGTAGTATTGCCAGAGTTAAAAGAAAAGGAGAGAGTATAAGGGTTATTACGTGTTCTAAGCAGGCTAAATAAATCTTCCAAATTCTCTCACAATAACAAAACAATGTTTTAAAAATCCATATAAATTCTATTATGGTTAGGTAAAATAAAAATCGAAAAATATTATTTTAAGCACTGCCATCTAATATTCTGTATACAAGAAGAAAACTTAAAGAAAAATTCATATGTGCAAACACAACTCCAATCAGACGAATAGTTTATAAACTACAGGAGAATCAAAGTGGAGCCTCGAGTCATCAATTCAGAAACACTCCCCGATTGCGAACCAAATTTCGAAAAATATTAATTTAGGCATTGCCATCTGATATTCTGTATACAGATCTGTATACTCCAATCAGACGAATATTTTCCGAAATATACGAAAAACCAAAGCAAACTCAATTGTGCAAAGTACAAAACGACCCCCCCTTACGTGCAAAATTTCAAAAAATATTAATTTTAGCACTGCAATCTCTAATTCTGTATACAAGTAAAAACACATCAAAGGAAATTGATTGGTGCAAAGCAAACTCCTATCAGACGAATAGTTTCCAAGATAGAAGAAAAACAAAAAGGAACCTCAATTGGCCAAAGTAAGAAACGACCCCCCCCCTTACGTGCAAAATTTTTAAAAAAATATTAATTTCAGCACTGCAATCTCTAATTCTGTATACAAGTAAAACACATTAAAGGAAATTGATTGGTGCAAAGCAAACTCCTATCAGACGAATAGTTCCCGAGATAGACGAAAAACAAAAAGGAACCTCAACTGGCCAAAAAACAAAACGACCCCCTCTTACGTGCCAAATTTCGAAAAATAATAATTTCAGCACAGCTATCTCTAATTCTGGACACAAGTAAAACACATCAAAGGAAATTGATTGGTGCAAAGCAAACTCCTAGCAGACGAATAGTTTCTGAGATAGACGAAAAAGAATAAGGAACCTCAACTGGCCAAAGTACAAAACGACCCCCCCTTACGTGCAAAATTTCGAAAAATATTAATTTCAGCACTGCAGTCTCTAATTCTGTATACAAGTAAAACACATTAAAGGGGAAAATTGATTGGTGCAAAAGCAATACTCCCCTATGCAGACGAATATTTTCCAAGATAACGAAAAAAAAAAAAATAAACGTCATTGGCCAAAGTAGAAAACGACCCCTTGACGTGCAAATTTCGAAAATGATTTATTTGAGCACTGCTATCTCTAATTCTGTATACAAGAAACTCATTAAAAGAAATTGGATTTGGTGAAAGCAACTCTTATCAGACGAAATAGTTTCGAAGTACATCGAAAAAACAAACGGGAAGCTCAACTGGCCAAAGTAGCAAAACGACCTCCTTTACGTGCCAAATTTCGAAAATCTTTATTTTAGGGCAGGCCAAGCTGAGAAGTCTC